AGGAAACAACGTCTAAGGAATCTTAATATTTAATAAACTATGAATGTTTTATATCCATGTAACGGGAAGAAACTCAGCTAACTGATCTTTTAAAAAAAAAAAAAAAAAAAAAAACCCACAATGCTAACACTCAGCCTCTGAATTAGCCACGAGCGAAAAAATGTAACCTATCTCTGCACCTAAACTCACTCCTAACTCCCTTATTACTTATCCTAGATGCACAGCCAACCCCTCGTTTTGCATCTACTGGAGACACAGAATCTGGGGGTGCCCACCTCAACACTCAGTGATAAACATTTGCGACGCTATAAACGAAAGCGTACATCATAACATGTGGAGCTAGGTAGCTAGAAACGCTAACATGGCTTACCTTGGTCAAAACTGGTCTTCAATGGCATTAAAACGATAAAAAAAACGATGCTGCAGTTAATCCATAGGTTAATCCAATGTGTCTGTGTCCTCTTTGAAATGATTTCTGATAATCCATAAGCAATAAAACTGCTTTTTCGTTTCCAAATGTCAGAGCGAGAGATCGGTCCACTCTGCTTCAAAATTACATGCGCGAAGGCTCCACCTCTTCTCTTCACAACGTGTGTGTGTGGGGGACTCCCCCTTCGATTCTATTGGCTCTAACGGTCAGAAAGAGGTGTCAACCATCAAAATCGACCAAGGGGGGCCAGAGATATGGAAAAAAAAACATTTTCACCCAAAACCTCTCTAAAAAGGTCAAATGTCACTTGTTTTGCATCAATCTTGATACAGGGTACTTATTATATGTTGTACTTTGGATTCCTAAAGCTTTTAGTCTACTAACCCATCATCCAAGGGTAGTTTTCACTATCTGTAAAAAATAAGTTTTGGACGGACACTATAATTTACAGTTTTTTACTATGTAAAATCTGAATTTTCTTTCAAATGAAAAACATCTATATTGATTCTGATACTTCTACATCCAACTCAGAGATGTAACCTTGCTTTGATAAAAGAAATGATTCATATAACCCTTTTAGAAGTTAAGTTGTAGTCATTTGTTTTGGGCATGTCATTTTCGAGCCTGAAACATGAAAAACAGGCTTGGTGCTTAACAGGTTAAATCTTTTTTTCCTTCAAATTTGTTATTCTTTTCTAAATAACACACTGTTATTTACTCAACAATAACACACAATTATCCTTGTTTTTATTTATTTGTTTAATTCTATAATCTTGGGCTTCTTTGCCGTTCCTCAGGAACTGAATTTCAAAATAAAGTCACCGGAAACAGACGTAGGCCTATAAGGGACATTTCGAGCATCATTGCGATACACACCAAGCCCCCAGGAAGTGCGCCGGACTCTGATGAAATTATTCGTTGTGTCGAAACGGCGGTACTACAATTTCTGTATCAGTCTGTGATGTCACTGGGCCCAGAAAGACTTTTCCCCATTGACTAACATTGGGAAAGAGGCGTCTGTAAATCAGCGGATATTTTTTTTTTAAACTAAATAAGCTACCCAGTATGAACTATTTTATAGCCCTTAGGTCATTAGGTCCTTAAAGTTCTAAAATGCACTAAAAGCCGAATCTAGATTTATTTTCTGTCTCCATTCATTCTATTGAGCCGAGAGTAGGAGCTCGGGGGGAGGACCTTAAGGGGTGCATGCTCTGTGAGCGCACATACGGGTTCTTCTGCTCTGACAGCCAGGAATGACGGGTAATCTGTGACGTTTCGCTCTCTCAAAAGTTGGGCCATTTTGACTTCATGCGCCAATGAGCAGCTCTCATAGGAAAGAACGAGACCCCGCCTCCCACGCTGTATCCAGTTCTTATTATACATCCATGGCACATACGGGTTCTTCTGCTCTGACAGCTAGGCATGACGGGTAATCTGTGACGTTTTGCTCTCTCAAAAATTGGGCCATTTTGTCCTCATGCGCCAATGAGCAGCTCTCATAGGAAAGAAGCTCAGTGATTGGATGTTTTAGCCGCAATGCACATTGGGATATGGTGTTTATGCGATATGATTAGAAGACTTCTAGACAAACTGGAAGAACTGCCACCGAAACTGAATACGTGACGTGGATCATAAATATATCAGCAATTAAACAACATCTTCAATTTCTCTTCACACAATACGTCTCCTTGCAGTAACAACATTAATTCGGCTGACTTTTATATTTGATCCAATTCGTAAATAGGTTATTTTTACACCATAACGGTGCACAGCTGATAGAAAAGGACTTGTAGTTTTTAAAGATATTACTGATTTTCTTTGAATATAAGAATGTAAATACTAAATTGAGAGAATAGTCAGGGGATTTGGGTGATGGGAGACACATCTATGGATTCAGAATTTCAATAGCTTACCATTAAATGACGGATATACCTTTCTGTCTGTGATGTTTAACAAATCAGATATTAATGTGTAGAAGTAAAACATGTGAAATAATATAGCAATATCCTGTAAAATTATGTGAAAACATGAATAAAACTGCACTTCTTCAGATGTTATACATATATAAGTGTCCTACACTAATAATACAAAATTATTATGGCATTGTCTGTGCTGTGTGTACCTTATTTGTAACATCTTCAGACCTTTCCAACTCCTCAACAGTTGCCTGTCTTTGACTGTTGCAGGTGTAGGTGCAAATATCAAAAAAAAATATGTGTGGATAACAAAATACATCCGTCACGAACTAACCTGGAAACTTATACTGGAAACTATAATTTATTGTGTTAACACTGTAAACTTGACAGTTTTTTAACCCGCACTGCCTAGTGGTTAAAGCACGTTATTGCATTTTTTTTTTAATATGTTATATTTACATACAAAATAGGGGGAAAGTAGAAGGTCAATGATAGAAATATAGAATATAAAAAATCAAGAAGATACTGTAAGTGATCTCTACAATAAAACAGTTTAGTGCCGGATGTATAAAGATATTAATAGGAGGATGTGCAAAACAGAAAAACGAATTAACCTTTATTTAAACATTAATGAATACTTTAGATTAAGGTCTTCTTTTAAATAAGAAAAAAGCTTTGGGGGTATCTACAGATAAATATTAAGCCTGACAAAGTACTTAACGTCTAATACATTGCTTTCCTGCAATGTTAACTATGTTGAAGCACTTATTTTAACTGATATTATACATATTAATTATATTCTTATGTATGTAGATAGTATAAGAAATGTGCAGAATATGACAGTTTAATGGTGGAGGTATACACACATATTGATAGATATCTTGTAATGCACTGTTGAGGAACCTGTGACCCAAGTTTTTCATTCATTGCATAACTACACCGTAGTTGTGTATATGATATGTCAATAAACCTTAGAAAATCTTGAAATCTTGAAAGGGATGTGCAAAATAGCCATTATATACAGTTTTTAATTAACGAATGTATTGTAATTGTAAGTAATGAATATACTGTATAGGGATCTGCAGATAAATGTTTTGTCTTCTCAAGCAGCAACTATCAAATATCTCTCCTGATTGTTGGCATTTGACAATCACCTTCCCTGAATTTTACTCAGGTGTAACTAAAGCCTGATTTAAGGGTTGTTTATATTTCACATCATTAATCAGAATCTGCAAAGTAACTAAAATAAATGTAGTGGAGTAAAAATACCAGGTTAACCTCTGAATTGTAGTGGAGTAGAATTACAAAGAAACAATGAGCTGTCATGTGGGTATATGGGGGGCTGGACCCGCTCGAGTCCAGTTTTGGATAGTCTGCCGTGGGTTTCATTCCATTTCAAAGAGCTGTCTGACGCTCGGCGTAACCTTGGCACACTGCCACTCCAACATCCAATCCCAGAGCTTGAAGATTAATCATGGGGTTTGTCAAGCAACGGGACTGTAGTCCCAAACGATAGCTGAGGATTATGGGTAGTGTAGTGTCTTCGGCCATCCTAAACTCCGAAATGTTTTTTGGATTTCATATCGCATTAACACCATATCCCAACGTGCATTGCGGCTAAAACATCCAATCACCGAGCTTCAACCATAGCTGAGGATCTTTATTTTGAAATTCAGTTCCTGACGGACGACCAAAAAGCCAGAGATTATGGAATTAAACAAATAAATAAAAACAAGGATAATTGTGTGTTATTTTGAGTAAATAACAATTTGTTATTTGGAAAAGAATAACAAATTAGAAGGAAAAAAAGATTTAAAAAATACAGATTTCAGTATTCTGAGGCTCTGAGCCCCACTTCTTTTCCTCACGGATGGCAAAAAAAGTCCAACATTATACGATTTAAAATAAAAACAATAATCGTGGCTTGATATTGAGTAAGAAGATGTTTTTATGAACCACACAGCTTCCGGTCTTCCAAGACCCGACCGGACAAAAAGACGTGGTGCAGGCACAAAACATACTACCAATAGAAATACATTGCTTTTTAAATCGTTCTGTCTGACACGAAAAAAAGGGGAAAATCGTGTTGGTGAACACGAATCACTAGATTAAATGTCGTGACTATAACACGAAATGCCGTGCGACTGGGTTGTTTATTCAGGCGTCTAACCAAAAACACATTTAAAAAAACTTTGCCTTCAAGAGGTTGGAACTGGTAGTGGTAAAATGCTAACCTTTCCCCCGGTTTTACAAAAATAGACTGTATGGTGAGCTTTCTGTAGAGGTGGTTGTTTGTCCCCTCTTGTTGTAATACACTTTGTGTATGCATTTCATTTGTGAAAATGAACATAATTTGTTGTGTTTTCATTGTTTTACAACCTGCATTTCAATAATGTAACTGTAGCATATTAGCCTCACATTGTTGAATCTTGTTTTTCTGTAGCCTACTACTACATGTTGTTGTTGCGTCAACATTAATTAGCCCCTCCTATAAACATTTATCCCCCTGAGGCTCCTAGGCTGAGCATTATTGTTGGTGCCCTTACACAGTGAATTGCTGTTATAAACATAATAACTTGTGTGTGCTGTGGTTGCTAAAACAAGTCTGATAGTTGGTCCAATTTACATTTGAAGTGATTTGTTTTCCAGAGCCTGGTCCGTCACCTGGAATCCTCACAAGATGATGGGCGTCCCACTGCAGTGCTCTGCCATACTGATCAAGAAGAGGGTAAGACATAATGCTGTACCCTTTAATTTAAGTGTACATAAAAATAAAACATCACTATCTTTGGAGGCTATCAACTGAATATTTTTAGCCATGCTGTGTGTATCTGTCCACCTCTCTCTTCTTCACAACTATTAGATGCATTGGACATTTGTACAGATATTTAGGATGCCTTCAGAATGAATACTAAGGACCATGGCGCCACTATGAGAGTGCAATTGGTGGTCCAGGGTAAACAATTGGGTTCATTCATCGTCTTTGTCAACTTTGGTGAAATGTTTTATGTTAAATGTCTTAAAAATATATCCTAAACAGCTGGTGTGGCTGTTGACTGTTAATCTTGTTCTGCAAACAGGGTTTTTTTTAAATGTTATTTTGTGGTCCTCCTCAGGGTCTCTTACAGGGGTGTAATGAGATTGGGGCCACTTACCTCTTCCAGACGGACAAACCCTACGATGTGAACTACGACACCGGAGATAAGAGCATCCAGTGTGGCCGACATCAGGACGTCTTCAAGCTTTGGCTCATGTGGAAGGCAAAGGTATTCCTGTGCAATATGAGAGTGACTCATGTGAAGACTGCATCTGATTTTCTTTTGATGTTGGGGACTTCCTTTTTGATGGGAATCCTTTTCTTTTTGTCCTTATCTTTATTAGATAAAATATGCACGAATGTATTTTGACGATTAGTTGCGCAACCAGTGAAGCAGTGATGACGTACTGTATTTTTCTAAGCTGCTTTAATAATAATAATAATTATTTATTTATTTTATATAGGCGCCTTTCAAGGCTCTCAAGGTCGCCGTACAAACACACAAAAAACAAGATACACAATACATAACACCAGCATAAGAAACATAAACAAGACAATGCAGTATATAAATCAATCAAATAATCAAATAAATAAAACAGAGGATGTGTGATGGATAATGATCAGGGTGGATATGTGAGTGTGAAGAGATGTGTTTTGAGGCGTGATTTGAAAATGGGGAGAGAGTCAGTGTTGCGGATGTCAGGTGGGAGGGAGTTCCAGAGGCGGGGTGCAGAGCGGCTGAAGGCTCTAGACCCCATGGTGGTTAAACAGAAGGGGGGTGCAGTGAGGTTGAGGGAAGCAGAAGACCTGAGTGTGCGGATGGGTGTGTTGATGTGCAGGAGGTCGGAGAGGTACAGAGGAGTGAGGTTATGAATGGCCTTAAAGGCGAGGAGCAGAATCTTAAAGGCGATACGGGATTTGACGGGGAGCCAATGAAGTTGCTGAAGAACAGGAGTGATGTGGTTAATGGAGGGGGTTCTGGTGATGATGCGGGCGGCAGAGTTCTGAACCAGTTGAAGTCTGTGGATGGATTTGAGAGGGAGACCAAAGAGAAGGGAGTTGCAGTAGTCAATGCGGGAAGTGACCAGGGTGTGAACAAGAATGGCGGTGGTCTTAGCGTTAAGGGACGGGCGGAGGGGGTTGATGTTGCGTAGATGGAAATAGGCAGACCGAGTGATATTACTGATGTGAGATTTGAATGAAAGTGTGCAGTCGAGGATGACACAAGTTACAAGTTAGCATCACAAGGGCTCAAAGGACAAAATCAATGGGATTCTTTCAATGGGAAAGTTGCACAAAATAATTATGATTAGTTTTGTTCAGCAGGATAATCTCCACACAGTGGTAGAATAAGGACTTCTTAGATCCTTTACTTAAGTAAAAGTAGGAATCCTTTGGTCTAAAAATACTCCATTACATACCCATTATGCACAGTGGCTGTTTTGAAAGTATTATATTATTATAGAATTTAAAATGATTCCTTCTTATTTTGATTTCTTACAATTACATGTAAGAACATTTAAATGTTGTAGTAAGTTAAGACCATTTTTGATTTATTTTAATATATTGATAGTAACGTACTGCATTATATCCAATAAAAATGTCCTGTGTTTTATATGTGAACAGTAGCTGGTAACTATAAGTGTTAATTAAATGTAGTGGAGTCAAAAGTACAACAAATGTTCCAAAATGTAAGGGAGTAGAAGTATATAGTAGCATTAAATGGACAAGTAAAGTACTTGAGTAAATGTACTTAGTTTCTTCCCACCACTGTTGCCCCATGTTAATACCACTTTGTGATGTTTCAAGCATAAATGCAATTGACAGAAGTAGGAATACTTAAGTAAGAATATAAACAAACGTCACCAACGCTAAGCTAAAGGTGGCTAATGTGGCGTGATGACTTTTACCAGTGTCTTGTTAGCAAACACTGTTTATAGGACACCCACTGTAGAAGCTTCAGACATTCACCAGTGGGGATTCACTGACATATTTTATATCGTAGAATAAAACGAGAGAGAACTCCATTCAGTACCAGAGAGACAACGAGCTACACATTTTCATTGGATGATTCTGTACTGTGAAGTTTTACTGTGAGCATTGACTGATATTGAGAAATGCAGTTTGGTGTGTCTGTGTCCCCTGGGTGACATAACACTTTCATTCATTATTGCATGCTTCTTAATTTTAAATCTTTTTAACTTTTTACTAATTAGACCGCATCTCACCCATATAAAACACTTTGATAAGATGACTACTGCTGTTTAAACTTCTGTGTCGCTGTCTGTGTCTCTCACTCGCTCAGGGGTCTGAGGGATTTGGATCTCAGGTCAACAAATGCTTAGAGAATGCAGAATATCTGTACGATCAGCTGCAGAGCAGGACTGACTTTGAACTGGTCTTCAAACACAAAGTAAGGCTGTTTTTTACGTAATATATTCATCTAATGAATGTACAAGAAACATTCGCAATTTCGGTTATGTGTCAGTGTTAAAATACATCAAGACAACAGATTTTAAGCCAGGATACATTTCAACTATAGGTTACATATACTAATTGTTTTGCCAGGCTGTAGATTCAGACAACTGTATATATATACATTTTCAGTTGCATTTAAATCTCCTGCACTTACCATCCAAAGAATATTGCCAGGCATTATTGTGTTTTTGGTTGGTCCTTTGAAATTGGGAGTACCTTCAGTGCCAATACTAATATCCCCAAGATGCACCACTGACAGCAAAAATAAGTTGTTGTAGCCATCAAAACATTTAAAGAGGCCCTATTTTGCTTTTTGCGGTTTTCCCTTTCCTGTAGTGTTGTGTAGGTTTCTGTGCATCTAAGTGGTCTGCCAAGGCTAAAAGGCAATATGAGAAGAGAGCTTTTTGAACAATAAAGCATTGAAACATGTCACAGTAGAGACACAAAATACACAGATAAAGCTGAAGATGAGCATAAAATGGCCCTTTAACTCTGATTGCAGTCACTAGGATTTACTTCACCATAAGCAGCAACTCTTTTAAACTCTTCACTTCAGCTTTAATTATCTTATTATGAATACTAATTCACCACTTTATATATTGTTACATACATGTTATATATTGTATTACAATGTGCACGTTTGAACTTTGACTTCTTATGTTTATAAAAGTATTTGTATTTTATTTTGTATTAGACATTTCACTTCTAATTTGTATGTGATATATTTTATTTTATTTCTTACTGTACATTCCTACACAAACTTATTTTTAAATACATATTTTTGAATGTATCTTTCATGTATTGCATCCTAACAAAACCCCATTCCCCGTGAGATATTTAGAATATTCCAATTCAGATTTTGAAGAAGATTGTATACTTATCCCTGTAAATCCCCTCTCAACTCTCACTGGAATCTGCTCTCCTCTCTTGCCCCTTTCACACCGGCGCTTTTCCAGCTCCTGCTGGGAGCTAGAGCCTGAAAAGCGCCGGTTTTTCCTGTTCACACCGCAGCGGCGGCGCGTCATAGCTCCGGAATGCGGTTCACTTCCAGCTCCAAAAAGTTGTCGGTCCAGAGGCAAGAGCTTTGGAGCTATGACGCGGCGTCGCTTACGTCTCTCTTACGTCCGTCGAGGCGGAGGCGGGGGCATGGGCGGGGTCAACCTCCTGAACAACAACAAAATGCCTGCGTTTTCTCCAGTTTGTACACAATGATGGAAGACCTCAAAACAACGAATAAGCAGCAGTGGTCCACTGAAGAGACCAGCTACCTAGTGGCAATCTGGTCTTCCGAAGAGGTACAAAGGAAGCTGGAGGGGAGCACGCGGGCCAAAGCGATTCTGCAGCAATTGAAGCGAGAGATGGCGTCTGCTGGTTATGACCGTAGCATTGTACAAATTAGCAACAAATTAAAAAAACTGAAGAAGGATTATCGGGACCAAAAGAAAGAGCTCGGACGGAGTGGCAGTGGTTGTACGAAAACAAGTCCACATTTTGACTTGCTAAACTCGGTCCTCGGAGACAGACCGACGAGTGGTGTGGGATGCACCGTGAATTCGCTTTGTCTCTCGTCAATTGGGTTGGAGGACGATTCATTTAATGCTGGTGAGTTATGCATTACTGATTTGTGTTATATTGTGTTTGTAGCTATAGACAGACCTGGCAATAATAGCTAAAGTGTACCTACTACAGCTACCGGGTGGGCACCCCTGCGCTAGCATGCTAATGCTAATGCTAACAATAATAAACAAAGGTATCCCCATGGCAAAGACAGCGAACGCCTCCAATGTATCTTCTTTCTTCTCACTAACGATGTATGATTTGTTGAAGGGCTACTTTTGTTCATTGTGTTTATATTGTGTTTACAGGCATATCTCGTTTGGAGTGCAGTGAGTCGGAACCACCACCACCGTCGGCGACTAGCTCGCCCGTGCACATGCTTGGGTCTCTTGCCACAACAAGCAGCTCTTCCCAGGAATCTCTGGTGACCCTAACCCAGCCAGTGGGCCGTAACAAACAGGGTAAGGTTTACAGTGTTCATAATGGTAATACTGTTCCCTGTTGCCATTTATCATGGCATTGTCATAGTAGTAGTTGTTGAAGTTATGCAACTGCAGCCATAATAACAATAAAACATTTCATTACACAGTATATAATTTACACCTCATAGAATGCCATGAACACGGTGTTGACCTCATTATTATTTTCCCCTTTGTAGTTAAAAGGAAGCGGGATTCGTCATCTGGCCTTGTCCCGTTAATGGAGAGGAGTGAAGCCAGGGACGAAGAGCTACTGGAGCATAGCCGGGCGATGCTTCAGGAGGTGCAGAACGGCAATGCTGAGTTCATACGGATCTTCAACGTCTCAGAGCAGAGCAGAATCGAGCAGAGCCGGATCGACAGACTCGCCGTAATCGCAAAGGCCGAGCATGACGGCCACATGCTTGGCTTGTTAGACAGGATGGTGAAGGTGATGGAGGCCAACAGCAAACAATGACATTATTTTTGTATCTCCATTGTTCATGCCCCTTTTGTGTACATAATTTTTAAATACACTTAGTTATATAATATATACAGTATGTTCTCCACACATTTTTGTGAATACTTGTATACATTCTTTTTGAAATACAGTTAGTTATAGTATATACAGTATGTTCTCCACACTTTTTTGTGAATACTTGTATACATTCTTTTTGAAATACACTTAGTTATAGTATATACAGTATGTATGTGTATTTATGTATTTACAGTATGTAAAATAAACATAACTCAAAAGTCATGTCTTATTACATTTTATTTTTTCAGTGATCCACTGCAAACTAGCTAATGTCACTATGATAAAACACTGAACTAAAACAGTGGTAGATGACAAGTATGACTACTTGTATGCTAAGTCTGATTCTGCCATGCATTCTTTAAACAAAATGATGCTAAATGGAATCGTTACCGGTGTTATCTAAAATAAATGTGTCATTGTCAAGCTGGAGCAAGGCACACCATTTATTTTATTCCTATTTCTCTTTAGAAAGAAGTTAGGATATAAATACTGACAAATCTAAGTGAAGGAAACAAACTCAAATGTACTGTGCCCTTACCCAGCACAAATGTAATGACATAAAGCTGAGGTTAGCACTAAATTGATCATAACACATCCAAAGAGAGAGCGACCAATCCCTGATGAATGTTGAGCACAGCAGCTCAGGTGACTGCACACACTCACACACATTTTATTTTGATACGCTTTGGGTATTGCAATTTCACACGTTTACAAAAGTAGCTTAATAAATGTAGCTCTCAGGTGAAGAAAGGTTGGAGACCCCTGGTCTAAACCTTTTGGGTATACACTATTTTTATAAGAATATTGTTTATACATTCTTTGATTTGTATGTAAAATAAACATAAGTCAAGTCTTATAACATTTTATTTTTCTCTTGGACATTTATGTGAATTTTCAGTGATGTACTTACTGTATGTGGGCCATAATAATGTGAGAAATTGTCGTTGTCTTTGACCTTAATGAGAAGTATTGATTTTTGATAAGCTTTGGGGATTGCAATTTCACATGTTTACAAAAGTAGCTTAATTCAACCTATGACTACTATGTCAATAAATGTAGCTCTCAGGTGAAGAAAGGTTGGAGACCCCTGGTCTAAACCTTTTGGGTATGCACTATTTTTATAAGAATATTGTTCATACCTGTTTACATTCTGTGATTTGTATGCAAAAGAAAACACAATTCATGTCTGATCCAGTGATTTTATTGTAAGAGGCATGATACAAAATAGATCAGGTTTAACTGCAGTAATATTAGTGGTCCCCCATGTTGAAATACTCCATCAATGCAGATCTAACGTCAGCTCCTTCTTGTCTACCGTTCTCTGGAAAGGGGTGTAAAGGGGGTTGGTTGTACACAACTTCATGGCAATATTCAGTGAAGTTGTCGCTATGTTCCTCACATATGTTGTGTAGTACACAGCAAGTCACTGTCATTATTTTGGTGAGCTCCAGCTCACAGTCGTTCCTTTTTAGGAGGCACCTCCATCTTCCTTTTAGCCTTCCAAAAGCCATCTCAACAACCGACCGTGCACTGCTCAACCTGTAATTGTAGGTGTGCTGTTCAGGGGTCAGTCTCCCGGTGTCCGAAAATGGTTTCATCAGCCATCTTTGCATTGGATAGGCTGGGTCACCAATCAGGTAATGTCCCACATCACAGCCAGAGATGGCTATTTTGTTTTGGCCTAGCAACACTCCATCACTGATAGCCACCCAAAGATTGGATTGTTTTAGCACTCTAGCATCATGTACACTACCTGGGTCACCAACACACACATCCCAGAACATCCCCCTGCCATCAACAACAGCCTGTAGAACAACAGAATGCCATCCTTTTCTGTTATAATAGTCCTTGGGATAATTTTCTGGTGCTAAAATAGGGATGTGGCTTCCATCTATTGCACCAACACACTGTGGTGCTCTCCAACGGTTGTTGAAAAAAGTGGCCATTTCCACCAACTTCTCCACATTAGGGAATTTGATATGGAGTGGAAGCAGAACTTCCATGGTTGCCCTGCAGAAATCCTGAACACAGAGGCAAACGGTGCTTAGGCCTACCCCGAAAAGATGGCTGATGGTCCTGTATTCTCCGCCGGTGGCCAGCTTCCAGAGGGCAATTGCAACCCGTTTTTTAGTGGTTATACACCGACGGTAATTTGTGTTTCTTCTCCCCAAAACGCCGCCGAGCTGGTTGCAGATGTACTCAAAGGACTCCCTGGACACTCGGAAATTCTGCACGAATTGCTGAGGGGAGAAGTCGGAAGCAATGGTGTTCCACCAATCGGAAGATCTGGGCTGTGTCCAAATAACACGCGACCTCCGCCATTTCAACATGATCTGTGGAAATAACATTGAGAATCCGTTTTAATGTTATACCATAGTAATTAATGCTGCAAAGCTGGGTATTTTGAGCTTGGCACATGCAGAGGCTAACAACAACTAGCTCTAACGCCATCGAATAGGACGTATATTTACCTCCCGTTTCCTACGGAATCGTTGTTGAAGTAGATCCTGAAGACCACAAAGAAGTCTTGTATTTCGCATGTGATGTTTGTAAAGTTCCAAGTAAAGTCGTCCCTTGAAAAGTCGTCCGATGCCTTCCATTTCGTCTCGTAAGAGGATAACCACAGCGAACAGCGCTTCAATACAATCGGCCATTGTTGTTGTGATTTCCGCGCGGTTTGGGTTTTAGGAAGCAGGCACGTAAACGGTTACGTCATGACGCAAACGATGAGGCAATGACGCAGTACCATCCCGGCTCTTGAGCGGTGTGAGCGGTGTGAACAGAGCGGGAGCTGAAAAGGGAAACGGGAGCTGAACCAGAAAAGCTCTCGCGAGGAGCTAGAAAGTGAAAAGCGCCGGTGTGAAAGCCGCATCTGACAGCCGGAGCACAGTAACGTGTGTTTCTGGTACCTCCCCCCCAGCCTGAGGGGCCTGCAGCCTGGCTCTGACAGAGACATGAGGCTCCATCAGGTCAGTTCAGGAGCCCTGCGGCCCCTCCCTCAGTAAGGATCAGGCCCCACTGCTTCCTTTTATGATTTCAAAATGCTTCATACGTCTCTGCAGGTGGCTCCTCGGATCAAAGGCAGGATGATGGAGAAGGGCTCTCTTCTGATTGGCTATCAGCCGTTGGGTGCCAAAGTCAACTTCTTCAGGTGTGTGTTCTCCAACCCAGCCACACAACAGGAGGACATCGACTTCCTGCTGGAGGAGATCGCCCAGTTGGGAGAGGACTTATGACCTGTGATGTGATTATTGGATCTGCACTTCTCTCCGGTTTTCATTTTGAAGGAAATTAGTGCACCATTGTTTTACTGTGCCATTCACATTGTATCCATACTTTCTATAAGCCTTTCCATTTTTGGTGTTCTTATAGCTTTAAAGTGAGGAGATTTGAAACTGTACACTATTTATTCATGTTTTCCATGGTTCTACAGGGTTATCTGGTGTGAGGTTTTAGAGTCGTCTTAATCAAGTTAATGTAACTGAAAATACATGGAATTGTTTGTCGTGATACCCCTTGAGATACTGCATACCACAGGAGAAAGACACAGGCTTTGAAAAAGGTAATTCTATTAAAAAAAACACAATCATACGATCTCACAGGTGGGAAAACTAAAAGACAGAAAGTGAAACTGTAGACACAAAGAGAATATTATTTTAAAAATAAAAATTATAATTAAGCACAAGCCTGTAAATGTTTGAATTTTAGTATTTTGATATTAATCATAGTAAAGACTCACTTTCATTCATGTCATGTGATTGCTGGGCAGTCTTTGTAGGTAGTGGTGATGATGGCCATGCACATTTATAAACCAGCAAATATTAAACAGCCAGTTAATACAGTATATTAGTGTTGGGATCAGTTTAATCTCTGTGTTTTATCACAATCTAATCTCACAATATTTCTTCTAATTGTCTTTTTCTCCTAGATTTAAGAAAAAAAATGCAGAGGGGGAATAAGTACTGCATTCAAAGTTGAACTTAAGTAGAAGAACAAAAGTATTAGCACCAACTTATACTTTAAGTACCAAAAGCAAAGTACTCGTCGTGCAGTTTGGCACAAATAAGAACCATATAGTTTATTATTCATGTATTAATGTGTTCATAATTTAATGTTGCACTTAAACGGTAAAAGTGGGGTTAATGGTAATGATGTTGCACACACTGGCTATCTTAATTTATGATAATGTATTAGCTAATTTATATTTTGTATTATAATCTAACCCTGCAAAGTAAATAATTACATATGTGAAATAAATGTAGTGAGTAAAACATTTGCCTACAAAATGTAGTGGAGTATAAAGTAGTAGAAAATTCTAAAGTACAGTACTCATTGTATATTTTTGCATAATGACAATAAAGGCTTTCTATTCTATTCTAGTACCTCATTTTTTTTCAGTAGAGTACAGTACTTACAGTACAGTACTGTAAATTGTGTTAGCTACGGTTGCAAAGAGATTAAACCACAGTCTATGGATTAAACACATGCTAGCTAGCTGTTGAGTTAGCATGAGGATTCATTGGGAACCGTTGTACGTACCATATGTGTTCGGGGTCCGTTACGCTTACCAATGACGTCACGCATTGGCTGTACGGTAACCCAAGAGGACATTTTACACGGTCAAATTCCGAATGTATTGAAACTCCAGACTCAACGTAAGAGCTTGAGCCTCTTCGGCGGATGCTAACATTTAAACATACACTTCATTCTTTACTTTGTCCGTTATTATATGTAGATGTTGTTTCCATAGCAACAACTTCAAAATAAATAAATCTAAATAGATGTGTGTTCTACACACCAAAATACGTTATTTGAACACCCCTCTCGATCGATTTACAACAAAAAAAATAGTATGGCCCGCCCTAATACACCAACGCAGTTTTTAAAGATATACATTTTTCAACACAGAATCATTTACCAAATTACAGAGTCAGAAAATGCTATCTGTTCATTGCAGTTATTGTTTATTGAATTAGATTACCATGAGCTCAACATAATTATGTAGAGTACAAGTCCACAGCCAAGAAAATGTTATTTTCATATCATTTTATTTATGAATATGGAATTATGGAATTCTAACACTGGAGTTTGTTATTATTTATTATAAAACGGACAAGTCAAATCAAGCAATCTGATTGGTTCTTAGCCGTGATATACTGAGCGTATACCACGGGTAGAATTGTAAGTTACTTTTCACAACAAGTCAGTATCCCTCCGCATCTGAGAAAAACAGTATACAGTTGGGCTGAAAAGCAAACTGCTTGCAGTTTGCTTTTCAAACTGGAACAAGAAAGCAGCGGAGAAGTAACGGGGCAGAAACCCTCCTTTTTACGCAGCGGTCCAGACATAGACATCAAACGGCAAAAACATACTATGGAGGAGTGGATTGAGGAGTGCGAGTGCCTATCTCCAGAACAAAAAGCACCTAAACAACGACATGTAGAGCTACGTGAAGAGCAGGTAGTAGACCAACTGGAAAAGTATCACCATTCAAAAGCTTTCTGATGCGGGTCTTGAAACAAAGCAGAGAAATTATGACCGTTAGTGGCCACAGGTGCGAAAGCTCTCTCCAGAGCTACTGGAAGCCGAATCTCGGGGACCGGAGAAAGTGGAGCAATATTCTCGCCACGCCAAGCAACAGCCTAGAACAACCTCAACCTATAACCATGTAAGCCATTCTACTGATGCTGGACAGTTTTTCAGTGGGTGCACAATAAACTGCAACATACACATTAATGTAAATAAATAGCCAAATAATGGATCAACGCTCTCTGTCTAAAATGTTCGCTAGCTGTTGTTAGTGTTGTTGCATAGCAACCACCTCGCACTATATTTCGTGCAGAAGGCAACGGAGGGACTATTTTATTTTGAACATCATTATTTACTAATAACAACTATTTAAATTAGAGTGTGTATTTTTCTTTCATATTGCCACACTTGGTAACCGTTTTATAAAAGCAATAGCTCACTTCAGGCCGTGATATATGGCCATTATATCACAGTTAAGGGGGTTGTCGACCCTCCGCTTCGCGTCGGGCCGAACCACGCCCCTTAACTGTGATATAATGGCCATATACCACGGCCTGTCGTGAGCTATTGCTTAACTATAACTTTATTATATCCGAATATTCATTCGTTGGAGTACTATTTCGGGTTTCAATTTCGTTATTCGGATATTCGTTTTTTCCCCGTTTTTTTTCAAATGGAATTTATTGAAATCTCCAATATCAACGTAAGAGCTTGTGCCTCTTCGGGGGGTGCTAACACTTAACCATAAACGTTATCGTTTACTTTCTCCGTCTTTATATGTAGATATGACTTTTCTCCGTTAATCTCTGTCACGTTGTTTCCAAAGCAACAACAACTTCCTGTCAACTGCGCTAACTCTCCTTCAAAATAAAGGCATGTCCATAAATAGGAAACCAAACCTATTTAGACCTAAAATGTGTGTAATTGTGTAAAAAAATTGTGTAATGTGTAAGACACATTTTTTTAATCTCTTGACTGACATGCAATGACTGGGACTGATGGAAGAATCTGAGAGGAATGAACTAGGAGCAGAGAAATAGTCCTATTTAAAAGACAGCATTGTCATAAGAGGCCAACAAGAGTCACAAGGGTTTGTCACTTTGCTGAAGGATATTTGTGACCAGTTATCCAGGCCAGTCTCTAAAGACTTTCCAAGGTGTAAAAGTGTTGCTGCCGGAGTACTGACTGGAAGTATTGCTGATATCATGTCTACCATATCCTCTTAAAATACTCTGTCCAACAATATAAGTCTCATGAAGAAAGGTGTTTTAACGCTGATTGAAAATAGCAGAGAAACATGCATTCTTGTACTCAGGAGGGGACATTGACAGAGGATTACTCAAAAAGTACACAGTAAAAGTACTTCATAGCACTTGTGGGAGTAGTTTCACTAGTAGAGTCCAACAGTGTCAATCTCACGAAGAACTAATGGCAAACATATTTTTTTCCCTCATCAAACTTAGCAGAAGTGGCTTGATTTTGTTCTCAGGAGGGGACAATGACAGAGGATTTTTTAAACAACACACTAGAAGTACTTCATTGTATTGTGGTAGAGTAGTAGGTGTAAGACTACTGAGTCCAGCAGTATCAATAACATTAAGAACTAATGGTAAAATTGTCTTTTTATCACTCATCAAAGATAGCATGATGTACTATGGAGGGGACTCTGACAGAGGATTACTAAAAGAATACACAGTAAAAGTACTTCAATGTATTGTTAGTAGCAGGCTAACTAATACACAGTCAAACAGTATGAATATCATTAAGAACTAATGGTAACATTGTATTTGTATCATTCATCAAAGATAGCAGAAAACATGCATTATGTACTACGGAGGGGACTCTGACAGAGGATTACTCACTAAGTACACAGTAAAAGTGATCATTTTAGACACAGGCTTATTATATTTACAGCCCTTAATAACATGAATTTTCTGAGCTCAATATGTGTCTTGGCCGTTTTCGTTGTGATCGCTAAATTCACCTCGTTTCCCCTTGTTTATAATATTATCACAGTTCCAAGCACACGAGTGCTTTTGTTTTGAAATAACTTCCGTGAGTATCGCCCCGCCCCTCGCTCCAATGACCATTAGACCATTTAGTAAGGTAAAAAGCAAAAACGTCTCTCAGACGCTCTTCCGTTTACTTGTTTAATAAAAAAAAACAATTGGACGGTAGATACACGGATTCAATGCGCTCAACGAATGCACTTTTGACAGACAAAATCAAGAAAGGAAAGAAATCCCTTTATATTTTCCACTGTGACCAGACAAACTTTGAGCAGGAATGAAAAGAAAGTCCTTGGTTGCAGAATTGAAGTACCCTAAGCATAACTGTTATTAACAACCTTTAGTTCTTTACAGGACAACATGTTCTCGAGGACGGCCTCTACAATTACTCTGGTTTCTCTTCAAGGCGTATAAGTCTTTCGCCTTTTACTAAAGACTTCCGTGGACAGGAACACCTACGAGTTCAACCTATTTTTGGTAGGCTCGGCCGTTTGGCTGAGCATTCTGAGTTTGTGAAAGACAAGAAAAGGGTTAGGGTTAACCCAGTTATGCAGTGCCTCTGTTATGCCAGGTCAAAAGAGCCGCACCAAGACCGGCGGTGACTGCGCAACGAGTCCGTCTCCTGCAGCAAACGTTAAGGGTCATCGCTTCTCGGCCTTTTGGCTAAGATCAAGTGTAGTATCTGTTCTTATCAGTTCTTCTCACCCTAGCTGCCATCAAAGACGCCATATGGACCTCCAGAAACTTGCTGGTAAGAAGGCACATGCAGATCCCCCCCGTGGCTGTGATCCGGATGGCTGCAGCAACAATAAAATCAGCGACATGCGGCACGCCCAGGACACAGCCACAAAGAAGAATCGCCTCTGTGCTCATTCGGACGAAGGAGTCGGAGCCACACGGGAAAGGTCAAAGCAACGCAGGCCCGACTCTCCAGGAAAGACAGGGGGGAAGGAGCAACAGGGTGGGGGTCTCCTCTGAGCACCTTGACAAGACCCCGAGAGACACAACCTGTTAAAGGGGAGTGGGATGAGTTCCCCTTGACAGGGACTGACTGCGCTCCTGCACAGCACTTTACTCAATGCACCCCCTTTTTAAAGACCTTAAAAGGAAAATCGTTTACATATGACAGGTATACAATGTTTTTAATGAAAGGCGATGCTTTTATGAAAATGGGTCTGATGTCTTAATAAAATCTTACAGTGTACATTTATTTATTATATGATTGCTCAAAATACACCTGTGTGACAAAAATGTGATGTAAATATGAAAAGTGCATGAATTAAGTGTCAATAAAAAAAAATCCCAAAAGAAAAAATCTGTTCTTATAGGTTTAATATCTGATACGTCCCCTATACGGGGACTATATATTAAATGGATTTTTAGCACTGGGAGCTGAAAGAGGGGCTTTTTGGACTCAATGCCAAAGAAGCCAAAGGTGAGATCCACAAACCATGCTCGCGCAGCTTCTGTCTGCAGTTTTCGGCCCATTTAGACCCAGTGTTTTGCTCTCTTTGAGCTCTATGTGTTCTGCTACCATAATACAAAGTTGACCTTGCTCAGAGACCTGGGAATACCCCCCAGATGCAGGGCAATATTGTGTTATTTCGATAGCACATATAAAAAATTGGTACGATACAGAGAAGACCCCTGTGGATCTTCTAGGATGAGAAACTCTCACCTGGGGGTCCGGAGCCCGTCGTCCAATCGGATCAGAGCCCCTCGGATCAATTAAAGCCAGTGTCCAGTGTACCAACCGCCCAGATCCCCCCCACCCCAAATGCTCTTTGACACCCGCTGCTGGCTGCATGCTTGATATGACAAAGAGATGTTATGAAGTTGTGAAAAGAAAGAAATAAGCAGTCAGAGATATTCAAGTTTAAAAATACCTTTTTATTTATTTCCAAGTTTTACAAGTTTTACACTTTATGTATTTATGTATTTATGTATTTTATGTTATGTTATGTTATAAAGTTTTACACTTTATGTATTTATGTATTTTATTTATCTTCATCCTCCACCCTGCCGTGGAGCAGGAAGAGGAGCAGGAAGATGAAATAAATCCTCTCTGTCATATCCCTCCTCCTCCTCCTCCTCCTCTTCAACAGTCACCTCCTCGCTGTCATCGGGCACATCGGGATCATCAGGGAGGGGCTGCAGAACCTTTCCCGTCTGATTGTACAGGTAGCTGATCCCGATGAGCTCACCTGAGGAAGAAAAGAGTAAATAGATTCTTAATATCACAGTTGTTCTTCACCTTGTTCTGATGTTCTCAAACAGGAACCTTCCAGAAGCATCGGCTCTGAGTCTGAAGTATCACCTGTGTACTGCAGCGGCTTCACGTGGCTCTCCACCAGCGTGGTGTGGAAGAACTGCTGCGTGAGCTGGTGGAGAGTGTACTGCTGCTGGCCGCTGTAGCAGTTGATGCCGCCCCCCCCCCCCGCTGCCGCCTTTCCCCGGTCCTCGTTCCACCTCGTGAGCCCCTCCAACAGTAACATTTGGAGGAATGTCCCCCTCGCAGAGGAGCCTGCAACATGACACACAAACGTCAGGATTTTACACCCAGGGAGAGAGAGAAAGTGTAAAACTCTTAGAGCACGGTGCCTCACCCGGGATGAACCTGTGGAGGTGCAGGTGGAAGGACTCCAGGGACGTGGAGCCGCGGGCACAGCGGTAGACGGACAGAGACACCCCCCCCCCGGGTCAGCTGTCCCGTCTTGGTGTACAGGCGGAGACCAGCAGGATCCTGAAGGGGAGAGGCTCTGATTATTCAGTGTCTGAATTCATGTCTGAACATGAAACATGTTGAATTGTTTCCTGTAAGAGCTGTAGCTGAATGCAGGGGATGTGATGCCTCTGTGTCTCCAGGATCTCCTCCATGCGGCGTCGGTCCAGCAGGGGGACGTTCATGGCATCGGTGGCCCCCTTGAACGCCTCCACCGCCTCTCCAAGGAGACGCTCGGTCTCCTGAGCCCCACGCGTGCGGCGGCGGCAGTGCCGACCCAACTCCTTGCTGGACGGCGTCCTTCTGGACTCGTCCGCCTGCAGGGCCGTCTCCAAGAGGGACAGGTCCTCCGGGTCCCACTCGAAGATGCAGCTGGAGAGACGCCGCATGAACTCGGGGTAGAGGAAGTGGCTCTCGGAGGTCACGCCTACTGCCAGTCGGCGTATAAAGTGCCAGATGTCCAGCCTGACAGCCAGGCGTGGCCAGGCGGGGAAGAGAGCAGCTGCAGCGCAGGTGCCTCCGTCCCTCCGGCAGCAGTCCCTGTCCACATACAGGACCTGTGGAGGCTCCTTCCCTGCCAGCCGGTACCGGTCCTGCAGGCCCTGCACCATGTCTCTCAGGCCGTAGCCCTCAGCGGCCGTCAGCACGGACATCAGGACCTGCCCCAGCTCGTTCCCCACGCTGCTCATCCACAGAGCGGTACCAGCGTCTGCTCCCACCAGCTTCTTGGTCACCTGTGTGAAATGATCATATAATCATTAAAAAAAAACATGTAGTCTTATACTCTGATTGCCTTTTACACTGTTACATTGTATTGTTAGTCTTGAATCATTTATCAGTTTCTTTTAAGACGTTCCTCCACAACCTGCAGGGGAGAAGAGGGTCTCCTCCATCAGTCAGGGTGCAGCCATGACACCTACAGTGTACATAAGTAACATTACATTTCTCACCTTCTTGGTGGAGTCCATTTTGAGAATGGAGCCAAAGGTTGAAGTCACCTTGGCGTTCAGCTCCTCGATCCTCGTAAAGGACTCCAGGACGAAGGTGGACAGAAGCAAGCCGCTGCTGGGGACAGGCACCATCTGTGGTGGAGGCTGAGGAGGTGGCATCTGCACACCTGCAACCTCAAACCTCCTGCAGGTGTTTAGGTAGTGGATGCTCCTCGTCATCCACTCTGCCGTGTGCTGCTACACCAGGTAGGAGTGCAGCTCGCTGGCGCTGTAGCCCAGCGTGCGCCCCTCCATTTGAGCCAGCACCCTCCGGTCACAAGAGAGCCTGCAGCACAAACACAGACGCAGAGGTGAACACCAAACCATCTCAATGTCCTTCAAACACCACTGTGTCCAACAGCGTGATGTTTACCTGTAGGTCAGCACAGCAGGGAAGAGCAGCTGGTGGTCCAGGTCCAGCTGGCTCCTGATGTTCGCTGCCCAGCCGGCACACTTCTTTTTGCAGGAGCTGGGACAGAAAGGTGTATTGGTGTATCTGCTACTACTGCTACTTATAGTTATAATCAGTGGCGACTGGTCATTAGGGGCAGGTGGGGCACAGCCCCACCTAGTGTCAGCAGAAAGTATTACAAATAATGATTACAAAAATGCAAAAAAATAAATAAAAAAATATATAAAATATATTTTAAGATCATGTTTAATCATCTGATTCGTCTGTACATTGCTGTTTTAGTCTGTGTTCTTCTAATTAGTGTGTCTACAGTCACAGTGTGTGCCTATTGAGCTGTTTAGAGCCATGTGGGACAAAACCTGATTATGCCCCTTCCTCTCGCTGTGAAGTCAACGGTGACTGTAAAAACTTCACTGCGCATGCTCAGAGTATTTTGTAATGAAATGTGTGTGGCAAAAAAATAATGACCAGAGGGGCATGGAGCTACCATCCCCACCATACGTCATCTCAAATCATTCAGAGCTGATTGGCTGTAAGTACGTGTGCCGCGAAAAGTGTGCTGTGTGAAGAGGAGACGAGAGAGCTGCAGTGGCGCGTCCTAAAACCAGGAAGTAAGCACAAAAAAGCAATGAGATTTCTCCAGAGGATTTTAGAAAATAGCTCGAAATAAGATCTGTGGGAAACGTACCTGTTAGATAAATGCACGTTTTGATTAGCCGGATAACATCCACATGTCTACCCTACTTATATAATTTTTTTATCATAAATCTATGGATTAGATTTATGATAGACTTTTGAAACTACAAGAACATAAGGAGGACTTTTACAAAAAAGTAATAGAAATGTTTGTCCAGAAGGATAGGCAAATGGACTTCATCTTCAAGTCAAGGTAAGACCGCCATTTTATTGAAAATGGGATCTTACTAAGAGAGAACAATTCAATATTTAAATGATAAAATGACATTTTTTGGGTATCCTTTTGTTGAACTGTCTGTTTAAAATTAATCGAAGCATCAGACAAAAAAAGCTTTTGAAAATAATATTATATTTTGGTTTAGGTCAAAATATAATATTTGTAAACCTGAAGAGTCAGTGCCAGTGCCTCACCAGCCATGAACCTCACTGCACGTCACTGCAGAAGCTTATATATAGACATCTAAGTTTTTTGTGCCCCACCACTTTTGTACATATAAAAACGCCACTGGTTATAATCATAAAAAAAAGTACTTGTATTATTTTACAATGTCTATTTAACCAAAGCATCAAGCACACAGAGTATGCTTGTAAATGTATCAGTACCTGCACTCCAGGTACTCCGTCCCCATGTAGTACCAGCCTTTGGTGTCCAGAACTCTGCGCACGGTCTTGTAGAGACCACTACCCGTCATCTTGTGTGCGCAGCTTGGGCACTTCAGGTGGTACTGCCACATTTTGTTCGGCGCCCAGAAGAAGAAGGGCCGCTGGAAGAAAGCATCTGGGGAGGAGGGCCGCTGGGAGTACTTCAGCCGGGGGCCGGGGGGGTGGTGCCACAGCTGATAGTCCGTGGACAGGACGGGCCACCCTGACTTGTAGCCCACAAACAGAGCCCTGCTGACCCACTCGTGCTGCTCTACAGGGAGGCTGCTCCTCCAGGCTGCCGGCAGGACCAGCTGCAACACACACACAGGTCACTGAGCTGCAGCTTCACACTACACACTGATACTAGATGTTTACAACAACATTATTACAGACCTGAGGGGGAGGAGCGACGAGTTGAAGAGGAGGTGGTGCCAGAGCTCTCTGCTGCTGGGCAGGACGAGGAGGCGGCGGAGGAGGAAGAGGTGGAGCAGATACTGTGCACAGCAGAAAAACACCCAAATAGATTTTATTATACAAAGCTTAATAATGACTCGAAGCACAGACTTACCTAAAGCAGCCTCCACCTGAGCCGCAGCCTCCACCATCAGATGGTCGTCTTCGTCCTCTGAGGAAGCTGCAGACACAATTTAAAAAATGTTCACTCATCACACATCACCTGACTGACAGTAACACTCCACTGACATGATACATACACAGGAGCACTGGCTTTCTCTTCCTCCGCTGTTTGGGGGGAGATGTAGTGGAGGGGGAGACAGCTGAGGAGGTGGCGGCTGCTGATGCAGCTGAGGAGGCGACAGGCTGCTTCTCCTTGTCCCTTCTGTCTATGTAGTCCTTCAGCTGCGCCAGTTGGGACCCGGGCCTCCTGACGGGCTGCCTCCTGAGCCACTTCCTGTACCTGACATTGAGATTGAGAGGCAATAGTTAGATTGATATCACATCAAGTGTTTCTACAGCTAGTGATGAAAGTCACACATGGCCTTACGTGCTTGGCTCCCTCTCCGCAGTGTCGTACAGGTCCCTGTACGTCATGGCTGACCAAGCCCCAAAGCCCACCAGCTGCTCGTGCTCTGCAGCCGTGCCCGGTGCTCTCTTCCTGCTCACGGCTGCCATCACTGGGGCGAAGAGGCTGGCGTACTCCAGCAGAGCATCTTTGTTCCACATGAGGGGGGTGCTGCTGACATCCCCCCCCTCACGCTCTCCCTGATGGCCTGCCAGAATGGTTGCCGTGAAGCCCACGTCATTTGACAGCAGCCACTGGAGAGTCTGACCCCGGTACTGACCAAACTGGAGCTCGGTCTGGCTGAGGAGCTGCCAGCGGTCCACCGGGTTGCCCCCCAGCGCTGTGACCCTTGACACAGCTTGTGCCTCAGCCAGCTCCCTGGTGTCGGAGGTGAGGCTGCCCTCTTCAGGTTGTCTTTCGAGACTTTGCCAGCTTCTGTGCTGGCCATCAGCTGCAGGTCTGATGTACCAGCCTGGAACGCGAAGGACGGTTTGTGATCCATTGTTCTGAAATCACATCAAACACACGTCAGAAGCTAGCAGGCAAGTACTTCACAAGTACATGTCACATCAAACATACGTCAGAAGCTAGCAGGCAAGTACTTCACAAGTACATGTGAAGTACAGCAAACACCTTGAACCTTTAACCTAGTTAGCATACAAACAAAGCCTCTCTTTGGATGAGATGGACCTTTGAATTCAGGTGTTAAAGCAGCAGGACAGAAACACAGATAGTACACAGGAAGAACAGTCTGAATAGAAATAAGAAAAATAACATGAGTAAAAGCTGGTTCTGATTTAAAAGAGAATGCTATCTTATGCTAGACAACACTTTTCCATCAGCTCAACAGTAACCTCAGAGGAGGTCTGACTTTAAATGAATGATGGCCTTCATATGTTAACTTTAGTTATTACAGTACTTCATTAAATAGCCAAGTGTCTATGACTGTTAACCCTCCGTCCACATCTGTGAACGGATGTAAGCATTAACTTCATGAACATATACGTTAGTGCAAAGTAAAAAGCGTTACGTGTTTGCATCAAGCAAAGTGCAGGAGCAATGCATGTTGTTGCCGCAGTTCTAAGACTGTACATGGCGGAGTGGCAGCTTTTAATCACGAATGGTGCATATAAATGTTAACTTCATAAACGTTAGCACATAGTAATAAGCATTAAATGACAAGTATTTACGGATTTCAACGGCCAGAAAGCTCCGGTGTGTTGCCGGCGTAAAGCCTCGGTTTAGCGGAAACTTTTTACCAATGCGAATATGCGCGAACGTTAAAAGACAACACATTGGCATTCATCTACTGTAATAATAGCAGAGGACAACAAAATACATTCCCATTCATCTGTTACTGTTATATTACATTATAACGGACTGTCTTACCTTTTCAAAAACCGCTCAGTTGTGAATGAAGCCTGGAAACTGAGTGAAAACTCCTCCCCGCTCCTCCCCGTTTCAATGAAACGACAGTGGGACAACCAATGGGTGGACACAAGATTAAAGTGAGAATGCCATAAGAAATGAACGGGAGGGGCGGGGCTAAAGTGGGACTGAGCAGCCCCGATTATCCTCGCCCCCTGGGCGCAACCTCATTGCCAATTTGTATTGAATTTTCAAAATTAAATCCCGATTCCTAACAAGCAGAGGTGGAAGCAGTACTCAGAACTTCCAGTTAAGTAAAAGTGAGGTTGCTTGTCTTGTTTTATACAGTATTTTGTGTTTTTGTCCAATCGGGGGCACAAACTGCAGCATAGCAGCAGGGGTCTTTTTTGGACTCAATGCCTGGAGTCACCCAATAGCTTTACTCTCTAATTGTGTGCAAGTTCAGATTCCAAACAACAGTGAAGCTATGTTGCATTTGCAGAGAATGGGAACCTAGTTTTCCTCTTAGCTTACAAAGATTCTACCACTCATTCGCCCACATTCACAAGACATCGTAACTACCACTACGCTGGCGAGGTCAACAGCACGGTCAACAAGGTGGATTTTTCAACAGATATGCTATATGCTCTAAGTCATTTAAGAAGGGATACAGTACACTGGTCATCCCTTACAGTGATTTGATGTCAAGCATCTTACTGAGATCTCAAATTAATAGGAGTCGGCACAGAGAACATCCCTCTTTACTTGTACACTCCAAAGACCTGTGTGTTTGCTGTAGCAGAGTCCAAGTGGTTTAGGCATTGTACTTTATTTTCAGACAACAAAGAACTGTCTATTGCATTGGCCGGGAATCGGACCCGGGTCTCCCACGTGGCAGGTGAGAATTCTACCACTGAACCACCAATGCTGAATTATAAAGCCAAGCCACCATACGGCAGTTGAGGCGAAAAGTTCAGCCAACAAAGACTGTTTTTCAAGCAACCACGCTTCTATATTTCATTATAAGCTCTATATCCGTAAAGACATTCCAGTGTTCCTCCCTTAAATGGATGTGATGTTTAGCATCAAACTAGTGTTTTCTAATGCCACGGAGTCAGCACGTATAACATCCCACACAACTAAAGCGTATTACTAAAGAGATAGGTTCCAATCGGGGGCACAAACTGCAGCACAGCAGCAGGGGTCTTTTTTGGACTCAATGCCAAAGAAGCCACAGGTGAGAGCCACAAACCATGCTCGCGCAGCTGGGGGAAAGGGTGTGGCCTGGGATGTGGAAAAGCCAAGTGAGGGTCACCGCGAGGGTTTGGACTGGGACAACTATGGTGGTGTCTGTTCTCGAGGACGGCCTCCACAATTACTCTGGTTTCTCTTCAAAGCGTATAAGTCTTTCGCCTTTTACTAAAGACTTCCGTGGAGAGGAACACCTACGAGTTCAACCTATTATTGGTAGGCTTGGCCGTTTGGCTGAGCATTCTGAGTTTGTGAAAGACAAGAAAAGGGTTAGGGTTAGGGTTAACCCAGTTACTTAGTGCCTCTGTTATGCCAGGTCAAAAGAGCCGCACCAAGACCGGCGGTGACTGCGCAACGAGTCCGTCTCTACGACATGTTACTCCAGCTGCATATCAGTTTACTCCACTCAAATGGCGCAAAACTCGCGTTCCATGGACAGACGTGTAATACACTCAAATTACAATAGATGGAGCTCTAGACTAATTTATAAAATTTGTAAAAAATGTTGTTAACACTCTGGGTGTGTGAGACGAGTGAACCAAAACGTAAAACCTCCGCAATTAAAACAGTTTAATCGAGTTTGAGCACTAATATACCCATGTTTTGAACACTTTAGCGGGGTAAATGTGTTATCTTTTCACCCTGGTCCTGAATTAAAACAGTTCCCCCGACTTTAAACACTAATGTGCCCATGATTCAGACACTTATTCATGGGTAAATGTGTTATCTTTTCACCCTGGTCCTGAATTAAAACAGTTCCCCCGACTTTAAACACTAATGTGCCCATGATTCAGACACTTATTCATGGGTCAATGTGTTCTCTTTCCCCCCCTGGGTGTGTGTGAGACAAGTGAACAGAGTCAGCCTGCAAACAAGCAGCAGTCTGCTGTCATTTGAAACATGTTCCCCGACTTTTTAACACACTTTTACCCACGTTTTGAGCACTTATTCCTGGGTCAATGTGTTCTCTTCCCCCCCTGGGTGTGTGTATGTCTGCCTGGAAGTGTGATATGCTGCTTAAAGCAGTGATTCTGCTGTTTTTAGTTTATTGTACATTTAATAAATTAAATATGATTAATATGTACATTGTTCTGTCTATACTGACACGTTTATGTCCATAACTCCGTATGTTTATGTCGTCCAATGTACACTGTCTAAAAACGACAATAACGAGTTAATTAAAACATTTTGGCCGCTCATAGGTGGCCTGCCATGCGCACCTTGAGTCCCCGGGCCCCCTGACTTAAGCACACGGCCTTGGACAAAACCCCATGTGCATAACTGCCAGACAAGCGTGCCCTTGGTAACCTAAAAATATGAAAAGTGTCTGAGTGTCAGGAGTCCGCAGTTGGATGTGTAAGGGCGGATGGTAGACCACCACAAAATCCACCCCTTGTTAGTCTTACCAAGGGCACGAGGTTCTGGAGGGTGTGAATATCTGGGTTTAGTCCGCAGTTGGATGCTTAAGGGCGGACGGTAGACCACCACAAAATCCACCCCTTGTTAGTCTTACCAGGGGCACGAGATTCTGGAGGGTGTGAATATCTGGGTTTAGTCCGTGGGGGAGTGCTTAACTGCGGGGGCCCGGGGACTCACGGTGTGCAAGGTTATGGAGGTGCCACTGTTAGGGGGACAAGCTGGTGGTCATTAGTCCGTCCTTCGGGGCTCTGTGAGCGGGCAAAGAGAGGTGGTTTTCCCGGTCTCCGCCCTGGAGGTGTGAAATAAACAGAGTCCCACTGTTAGGGACTGGTGCTGGAGGTCTCCTGCATTTAAACAGATTCACCAGTTTATAACATTACTTTAGCCCTGATCAGAGCCCTGTTTTCTGGGTAAGACAGCGAGGTGCTGTACCCTGGGTCTCTGGGTCTATGGGTCTCTGAGACCCTGCTAAAAGCAGTGAGTCTGCTGCCTGCATTTAAACAGATTCACCAGTTTATAACATTACTTTAGCCCTGATCAGAGCCCTGTTTTCTGGGTAAGACAGCGAGGTGCTGTACCCTGGGTCTCTGGCTCTCTGAGACCCTGCTAAAAGCAGTGACTCTGCTGCCTGCATTTAAACAGATTCACCAGTTTATAACATTACTTTAACCCTGATCAGAGCCCTGTTTTCTGGGTAAGACAGCGAGGTGCTGTACCCTGGGTCTCTGGCTCTCTGAGACCCTGCTAAAAGCAGTGACTCTGCTGCCTGCATTTAAACAGATTCACCAGTTTATAACATTACTTTAGCCCTGATCAGAGCCCTGTTTTCTGGGTAAGACAGCGAGGTGCTGTACCCTGGGTCTCTGGGTCTATGGGTCTCTGAGACCCTGCTAACAGCACTGATTCTGCTGTTTTTAGCTCATTGTACATTTAACTAATTCAATATTATTAATATGTACATTATCCCGTCTATACTGACACATTTATGTCCATAACTCTGTATGTTTATTGAGTCCAATGTACACCGTCTAAAAACGATAATTGTGACTGAATTAAAACAGTTTGACAGCATTTTAACACTCATGTAGCCATGTTTGCAGCCCTGTTCCCTGGGTAACAATTGAATTACCCTCTCCTGTTGAATTAAAACATTTCCCACGGCTTTAAACACTAATATACCCATGATTCAGACAATTATTCCTGGGTAAATGTGTTATATTTTCACCCTGGTCCTGAATTAAAACAGTTCCCCCGACTTTAAACACTAATGTACCCATATTTTGCCCACTTATTACTGGGTTAATATATCATCTTTTCCCCCTGGGTGTGTGTGGCACCATCTGGTGGAACATTTGTGAATTACACTAAAATCCAAAACTTTAATGTTTTTTATCTTAGCGAAATAATGGTTTAATGACCCCAATGTAATGATCATTTATGATTCTGCAGATGTTGTCTACACGTGTAT